TTGGTGGTCTCCGTGGTCTAGGTGGTCTTGGTAGTCTTGGTGGTCCCAGTGATCTTGGTGGTGATTGTGGGGGTCTAGGCGGTGTTGGTGGTGCTCTTGGTGGTCTTGGTGGTCGGGTCTTGGTGTCTGGGTGGTCTTGGTGGTGTTGGTGGTCCCGGTGGTCTTGGTGGTGATGGTGGCGGTATAGGCGGTGTTGGTGGTGCTCTTGGTGGTCTTGGGAGTCCCGGTGCCTTGGTGGTCTTGGTGGTCCGGTCTTGGTGGTCTCCGTGGTCTTGGTGGCCCCGCTGGTCAAGAATCGGGTTCTGTAGGTGCCAAAACCTGCCTCCTTACAACATGGCCCCTCTGTAGGGGCCTCAAGCTCTCCCTTTTGCACAAGAAATGTCAACAGGGATCCGTCTACATTTTAAAAATACGGGGCCCGGCCAGACCCTTCAAATACACGGTGGGAACAGGTATTTTAGACGACCTCCGAGGCCGATTGCTCTGGCCAGGGCACCGCATATTTAAAAGCTTTACCGTACAGTTGGCTGGCTTCGACCCATCCACTGTGGGGGTGAGGTGTGCAAAGTCAAGCTTGTCAGCGACTTTCAGCAAGTCTTGTACATGTTGGTTGGTGGTCACCACTACCCCTGCTCTGGCCTGGGAGACTTGGAGCTGATGCGTTTGATGCAAAGGCTTGTCATCGGTGCCATGAAAGGGCACTGGCCTTGAGCGCTTTCTTCTGCCACGGATCTGTCACCCAGACGATACCGGTCTGTAGTGGTGTCCATTGCACTGGATGCTGCTCCCCCTCTCAACGACTTTGGTCTGGGAAGAGGTTGCGTGAGATCCGTAGCAAGAGCCATCTTCGAATGGTCTGGGCAACAGTTCTGAGGTGTGCAGAGGCTCCCTTTTGGGTCCAAGCATGGCATGACCGGTTCCAAATAGCTGCGAGCCTGTCGGCATGGTGTGATGTCATCATCTCTCGTTCCTTGGATTCAGCTTCGCACAGGTTCTGGATCGTCCATCCCGTCGAACTCATCTTGTTCAAAGGGATGGAAGAACTGGTGCCAAGCAGTGCTAGGCAGCCGCAAAGAAAAGATAATGCAGCTGCAAACCGCATACGCGACGAGCTCGAGGCATCACAACATCAAAGGGCAGATCTTTAAGACAAAGTTGCTATCTTGAGCCAAAAAGGCTCGCGTGTGTACATATATAATCATCTGAAGGACCTATGCTTTGGGAGGTCCACAAGTTTCTTTCTCTCTCCCAAGACATTGGTTCTCAGCTTCGTAACTTCCCGAACACCATTTTGTCAACTTCATCTAAATAAGATCCGGAATCCGGGGGAATTCTAACCAACATCAACCAACAACCCCTTTGCTCCAAAACCAACCCCCATAAGAAAGAAATCAAAGCCTCCAGAAACTATACCCCAAACATCCTTTTGATCCGGGGGTAGTGTAAAGAACAGTTGCTTGCGCATGGAAATAACAAGCGACTGCGATCCCCTTTCCTATCCTTTCTTCCAGGATAACAGTTTCATCGTGGGCTGAAACCCACCCCTCGCCGGGCACCACCAGGCTTTATCAAAAAAGACACCTCGGTTGCCCTACAAGATGTTTCTCGGACGAGTGTTGATCCTCCAGACTCGGTCGGTCCTGCCACTTTGGTGCCACGGTCAGGGTCATAGCCGCCAATCCCTTGGAGCTGAACCCAAGTACGGAAAAGGAGACGGCCCGGGAGAGGAGGACGGCATCAATTCATCAATGGTGAAGAAGTTTAACATGGTAATCGATCAATCAACAGTTGAAGCAAATGTGGGCGCGTACAAGCTAGTTGGGCACACTAGGCGGGCAAGTCCTACATGGGTGGAAGTGATCCCGTTGTCCAGGAGGGATGGGAATTCCAAGTTTCTTCTCCCAAATCTCTATATACGAAGCTGCCGAAGCTTCACGACTATGAGGCTCGCATCAGGACTTTATGAGTTGGTCCCTTTGGAGCCTGGGATGGTGGATTGCCTCACGTCTCATGTATGACCACTCCAAAAAATGGCTCCTCAAGTCAACCCCCTGCGTGTCAGGGTGGGGGCAGCAGCCCGTGTGGGTTCTTAGGGTCACCTGTTGGTGTCAACACCGAGCGGTTTGCCGAGCGGTTTTGCAAGAAGGAGCGGCCAAATCTGACTGGAAAGTGCCTGTCCTTCTTCTCTTAGAGTCCACCAAAAAACTGGTGTTTCAACATAGTTGAACATGATAAAGGAACTATAACTAGCATGACATATATATATATATGTATACACACTCTCTCAGAACATTAACATGAAACTCAGATATGATATACCCCTCCCGAGTGCTAGTCCCAACACCAGCTCTGGCCCTTCATGCTAGAGAGTGTCGCGTTCGAGAAGTTTGAGCTTGCAGTTTGAACTCTGTTCTTGGATTTGCGGCTCCCAAGAACTGGGAAATGAAATACTCACCATGCCAGGTGATCTACCCTGGTTCCTCGTTAGCTGCGTCTTTCACAACAAGGTTTGGCCCGATCCGCGAAGCCCGGGTTTCTAGCACACAAACACACAGTCGATGAGGACCGGTGTGCAAGATATGCCGGCCATGACACCAGCCTCTTGGAGTTCCCAAGGTGTCACTGACCATGTCGCTTCTTCGGGTCTGACACCGCGTGCCGTGCGAAGTGCTCCAAGAAGCTCCAGAGAAGATCATCATGCTGGCCTCGAGCCCCAGAAGATGGGGGCCTTGGGTGAAGAGAAAAGCTGTTCATCCAGCACCCAGGTGAGTATGGGATGCGTCATGGATGGAACATCCAAGGAACCACGGGGGATGCGTCGTCGTCTATCAACCACCGGATGTTGGCGGATGTGGGTGCGGTGGTGCTGATGTTGAATTTTAAGAAACAAGTATATAGCCAGGCACTCCCCTCACGGTGGTGTGACCAACGACCTGATTGCTGTGAAAGAACCTGACTTTGGAGGAGTTTCTGGGAGTCTTTTCCGCTGTTGGAGCTTTGTTGGGAAAACGTCCCTGTGAGAAAAAGAACCATCGGCTGATCTGCACATGCAACAAGCCTCATGTGATCTCTTTCTCTTGTAACTCATTTTCATGTGACTTCCCTGGGTTTTTTCGGTCATTCCCCAGACGCTCCATGGGACTGCCATATATGCCGATCAGTTGGGGTGGCTTTGGGGGGTCAATGGGGCGGCATATATTCCAGTCCCATGGAGTGTATGGGTTCATGTTGGGGGTTGCTTCAAAGCTGTGAGTCATGGAGCCACAGTGTGGCCCTGTTTCCGGTGCCACGTTTCGAGTCGAAGCACCATGTTGGCTGCGTGGCCGTTGGTTACGAACGGGAACCTTCATGGCACACCGAAGTACCACAATGGCAGCCGGAGCCCGTACTATTATAGTATTCATAGACATATCATCCTGCAACCTCGTGGTTGCTTTTTTTGTAGTTCAAGAATGTATATTCATATAGGTCTGTGAACCACACTATCACATCCACAGCCCAAATAAGCATCCGCTTAAACAACACGTTCGGGAAAACCGCCTGTGGCTCACCAATAAACGCGTGTAGCTTGTGCATATAAACAATGCGGAAACATCAAACAACTAGAGAAACATCCGCAAACTCAATTATAAGGCAGTGACTCCAAAAGATGTGTTTCACGCCGCAGATCGAGAAAAGGCACTCTGAGGGAAGCTCCAGGTATGCATAATGAATATGTGGTTATTATGTTTCATGGCCGTCTCAAGCTTGGTCCGCTTCAACAATGAGAGAACCCAAACGATGGTTATTGAATTGGCATCTCTCTCTGTCGAAACATGGCCGGCAGGTTGTTCCGTTCTGTTTTACTGTCCAAGTCTCGTGAATGAAGAGACTGAGCAGGGTGGCAGCTCTGCGGGTGGCCAAACGGCCATGACCTGTGGCCGAATAACACGCTCCAGTGAAACCAAACTCTCAACAGAATGAAGGATGATAAATGATAAAGGGGGATTGTTATCACACTCCCCAGTTCTGCCAGCCATATATCCTACTGGAATTTGCTTAAGAACCTGGAAACATGCATCCCCTGTGTGGGGACTCACCATAGAGGGAAAAGAACCCGTTCTCCCAAAGCAGGAGGAGACAGTGATTGGAGACATCCTTCCGGCCCTGGGAGGATGATTGGAGACAGTTGTAGGTTTGGATGGTCCAAGTGCCTTCTGAGAAGGTATATATATATATATATGGATTTCTAGGGCTTTGAATTGGAGGGTCAGGTCCTGGATCTAGTTGCATACTTTGTCTCACAGTCTTTTGCAGGATGTGAACGTACTACAGGTAGGATCAAAGTGCTGGTCAGGTCTCTGCGTGGCAGTGGCTTGCACCTCAAAAGCAAGAAACCTCTTGTTCCTTCACCTAGCACCCGCGGATCATCTGAAGCTTAGTACTTCTCCCTCTTCTTCGGTCCTGGATGGCACAACTCAGAATGAATTCAGTAGTTATCCAGCGTTAGCGTTAGCTTAGCTCTTTGACAATACCAATCACCTGGTAATGGTCCTGAGCAAACGGACGGGTAAAAAGTCAGAAAACCGTAGTTTAAACCACTAGACTTCCGAAATTACACAGTCAGACGACTCGCTTCCCATTAGCTTCGTTGGCCAGCGTCGTGATGCCATGCTCTGGCCCACTGTTGAGTACACACAGGTACACACACTCAGTGGTCGCGTCGCGCGCCTCATTGTGCTCCTCTGAGTCAGAGCAGGGCACTGAAGGGTCCAGCACGTTGCCTTCGAAGGGTCCAGCGAGCAAGCTTTGTGGATCTTGACTTTGATCGAATAGGTTGCCGGTTTTGCAGGGAAAATTGTATTCATCAAATCATCACTTAACATAGATGCCCGTTATATGCCCCAGAAACTCGGGGGTTCAGTTCATGCATGAAATAACAAAAATAACTCCATGCACTGCCTCAAGTTGGACCATCCAGGCATTGAGCAATCTTCAAGACAATGGTATACAATCTTCTTGCATCTGAGAAACCACACCAACATATCTCTAAACATCCAAAGCCTCAAGCCGCTTAAAATGACCAAATCTCCGAACCAACAATTGATCAAATCCTTCTGGAATCCCCACCAGAATGGTGGACTTGTCTCAGAACAAGAAGACACCTCCCAACAAAAGCCCTCCAGAAAAATGATAGACAACGAGACCTGTTCATCTTTCAACCTATCCCCAATCAATGGTGGTGCCAATCTAGCCTACATTCACCACCCAAAACCACCACATGCAGTCCCATTGGTCTGGGTCTTCGCTTGGATTTGCTTACGGAACTGGGCACACAAATCGATATTCCCCAGTTTTGGAGGTCAAATATGGTCAAATAAACATCACCCTTCAGCAAAACTAGGTTTTTCCAGGTTTTTCCACGGTGGGATCCAGACCCTGTGACCGGCCCACGCTTCGGTTGGCGCGGTTCACTCGCCTAGCAGTTTGAGCGTCGCATCGCGGTCCGAAGCCCAAGTGCTGGTCTCTGACCTGAATTTGGAGCTCGGTGCGACAGTGAATCGGAGCTCGGAGTGGCACGTTTTGCGGTACGTGAATTTTTCACAGATGCAAACAAATCAAGCTAAAGTTTAATCAATTATGATCAAATGCATGTAGACATTCTGTTTCATACAAAAACACACATTCACTGGGAGTACACACCTTTCTTGAAATCTTTCTTTAAGGTATGCCCAGGAATTACTCACCAAACCTTGGGTTTTCACAAAGCCTATGGGTTGACCCTTGGGTTTTCACCTCGCTTCGGCTTCTCCCGACCTCCGTTCCCACTCCGGGCTAGCTGAGTTCGCCACTCCAAACGCTTCAGTTGCCCGTGGAGCTTCTGTGCTTCCGCCAGTTCTGCTGTGCAGGGCAGCTTCTGCTTCTTCTTCTCCGCGATGACCTCCTCAGACCAGGGATTGTCATACTCCGAGCAACCAAACAGGTCGCAAATGGCTGAAAACAAACTCCGCTGGTTGCGAATGAAGGTCTTGATCATTCTTTTCTTTTGGGGTGCCAATAGGGAGGTCTATTGAGTGTATTAGCTTCTTGGATGCCAATCGTTCAATGTGACCAGGAAGCAAGTCAATTCCGGCATCCATGGAACCCGTTTCGTCATCGAGGGCCATCCACTGACGAGCCAAGTGCGAATCTCAATTGTAGAATCATAGATTCAATCCAAATTGTCTACAAATTATTGGGAACCCCATGTGCTTGGTTACAAAGCCCAGTCAAGCACTGT